GCCGGGAAGGGCGAGGGGGGATGCCGCTGGGGGCCCCGCTCCGGTGCCGCTCCCCGTGACGGGCCGATCTCCCACCTCGCCGCCCTCGGCGGCAGCCAAGACCGCCGCCACGCACTCCTCGCCGGGGTAAAGCGCTGCGAGGGCCGGGCCCGGACGCTCCCCAGGGGCTGACTGAATTCGGTGGCCTGCCCGCCGGAAGTGAGCTGTCCGACGGACACCTCAGAGCGTGGGAAACGCTCTAAGCAAGCTTACGGGGAGGCGAGTGACCGAGATCATCGCAGTCACGTTTTTGCGGGGGCGGGGGATTGGAGTCGGGGGCGAACCTGGAAGTTGCTTAGTTCCCTTTCCGAAAAGAAGGTTGGCCCCTGGCAGAATAGTGGTCCTGTGGGTTTCCACAAGGGCACCCTGCCGGTTCCGTAACCTAGTTTAGGATGCCGAGATCCGAGGAAACGGTGTTGCTGTTAACCTGATGGTCAGGCTAGGATGAAAGTGTCTGCAGCTCACTTTCTTGTTAGAGTTCACAGGCCAGACATCTACCCCACACTGGACCCTGAGTGACTTCTGCCTGTTCTGAAAACCCCTGCCATGGTCCCCTGTATTCGGTTTGCTTTTGATTCATTGTCTCGCTAAGTAGCACAGGCTGACCTTAAACTCTCCCTCTGTCTCCCTCGTACCAGGCATGTAGGCATGCGCCAGCACTCCCAGCTTGGTTTGTTTTGCTCCTGTTAACTGCTTTTTACGAGAGAGAGTTGACAAGTCACATCTCTTTCCTCTTTCTTTTAAATCTATACGATGACAAAACCTTTTGTCTGTGTGATTTGGTACATGCCCAGGTGCCATAGTTCACCTCACCCCATCATTTTTGTGGTGTCCTCTACTATGTTTTTTTGGCTTTTTTTTTTGTTTTTTAGGTTTTTTTTTTTTTTGTCCTGAAGCTCCTCAGTCAGTCTAGGCTAGCTAGCCAGTGAACCACGGGGATCCAGCTATCTCTGTCTCCCTGGCACTGGTCGTAAAAGTATTGCATGGCTTTTATATTTTATTTTACGTGCATTGGTGTTTTGCCTGCATGTATGTGTGTGCCTGTAGAGACCAAAAAAGGGGAATCAGATCCCATGGAACTGGAGTTACAGGTGGCTGTGAGCCGCCATTTGGGTGCCGGGAATTGAACCTAGTTAAGTCTCTCTTAGTATCCGCATTGTTGTCTAAGTTCTCTGGGGAAAAGTGTGCCTTTTAAAAGCGAGTTTAGAATGGGTTGATCTAATTATCCTGCAGAGACCGTAATGAGTTACTCTTGCTGTCTTTCAGTGCTTGTGAAACCGAACACAGAAGTATGGATATGGGAAACCAACACCCTGCTATTAGTAGGCTTCAGGAGATCCAAAGGGAAGTAAAGAATATAGAGCAGCAAGTGGTTGGCTTCAGTGGCCTGTCGGATGACAAGAATTACAAGAAACTGGAGAGGATTCTGACAAAACAGCTTTTTGAAATAGACTCTGTAGATACAGAAGGGAAAGGAGACATTCAGCAAGCTAGGAAGAGGGCAGCACAGGAGACAGAACGCCTTCTCAAAGAGCTGGAGCAGAATGCAAACCACCCACACCGCATTGAAATCCAGAACATCTTTAAGGAAGCACAGGCCCTTGTGAAAGAAAAGATTGTGCCCTTTTACAGTGGAGGCAACTGTGTGACTGACGAGTTTGAGGAAGGCATCCAGGACGTCATTCTGAGACTGACACGTGTTAAAACTGGAGGGAAGATCTCTTTGAGGAAAGCAAGGTACCACACACTAACCAAGATCTGTGCAGTGCAAGAGATTATTGAAGACTGCGTGAAGAAGCAGCCTTCCCTGCCACTCTCTGAGGATGCGCATCCTTCTGTTGCCAAGATTAATTCTGTGATGTGTGAAGTGAACAAGGCCAGAGGCACTCTGATCGCACTTCTGATGGGCGTGGACAGTACTGAGACTTGCAGGCACTTATCGTGTGTGCTGTCAGGGTTGATTGCTGATCTAGATGCTTTGGATGTGTGTGGGCATACAGAGATCAGGAATTATCGGAGGGAGGTGGTGGAAGATATCAACAAATTACTGAAATATCTAGATTTAGAAGAGGAAGCTGACAATACACATGCATTTGACCTGGGACAGAACCATTCCATTCTAAAAATAGAAAAGGTCCTCAAGAGGATGAGAGAAATAAAGAATGAACTTCTGCAGGCACAGACACCTCCTGAATTATACCTGAGCTCCAAGACAGAACTTCAGGGCTTGATCGGACAGTTAGATGAAGTGAGTCTTGAAAAAAACCCCTGCATCCGGGAAGCCAGGAGAAGAGCTGTGATTGAAGTACAGACCCTGATCACGTACCTGGACCTGAAGGAAGCACTCGAGAAGAGGAGGCTGTTCCCTTGCGAGGAGACCGCCCCCAACAAGGCTGTGTGGGGTGTCCTTGGAAACCTGTCAGAGATCCAGGGCGAAGTCCTCTCATTTGGTGGAAACCGAACTGATAAGAACTACATCCGTCTGGAAGAGCTGCTGACCAAACAGTTGCTGGCCCTGGACGCTGTTGACCCCCAGGGAGAAGAGAAGTGTAAGGCTTCCAGGAAACAGGCTGTGAAGCTGGCCCAGAACATCCTCAGCTACCTTGATCTGAAGTCCGACGAGTGGGAGTACTGATGGACCAGAACCTACCTGATCTTGCTGGTTCGCACTTTATCTTCTTTTAGAGAGCTTTCAGCTCATGGAGCCTAAATGTAATTTCTATGTGCATATTCAATCTCAGTATTTATGATTTAATCAAATTATATTCAGTATTTCTGCTGCTTTTGATGTTGCAAAACAAATATCATTATAGCACATTAACTTTTCATCTGGCTCATTATCCTGGTTTGTGTTGATTTTGTGTGTTTTTAATGGGAACATGAAAAGGGCAGCATTCCTCATTTTTAAACGGGTTGTGCAAGCATTAAATGCAGAATTTGAGAGTCTAACTCTAGGTAAACTTAGGGGCTGAATGGGAATAAAATCCAAGTACAAAAATAGTACAGAGATGTTTTATTATGTAAACAGAACTGGGCCTTTTTTAAGTTACAAGGCTTGTTTGGTCCTTCCTCATCTTATGGGGAGGGGTTTTTGTTAGGATGGTTTGTTTTTTTCATAAACATTTTTGTTCAGCAAAAATTGTTCCCTTATGCTTTTCATTTTAAAGGCGGGGAATCTTGTGTACAACACAAAAAATTAATGAGACCTAACAACCAAAAATTTGAGACTGCTTGAGAAAGGGAAAAAATCATCAGTTATTCAGTACCTTCAAGTTACTTTTGCTTGTGAGATCTTACCTAAAATTCTCCTTCTTAGTTAATAAGGATAGTGAACATTTAAATGAAGGCAGTGGACCATTAGAGAACCATTGCTGTCTCCCCGTAACTGGAGGATGAAACCTGTTGTGGCCACGTCAGGTCCTAAGCTGATGAGGAACGTCTGTCTGTAGCATAAATGAGATGGGTTCCTTTGTTGGTCACAGCTGTGAAATAGAATGCCTGTTAAACATGACATCATTTACACCATGATACCAGAGACTGGTGGTAATCTTGGGGGACGGGTCTCTGCAGCTGTCAATGGTAACTGCTGCTGGTACCCCAAATATCACCTGTACCTAGTTGGAGTGAGGCTGTGGGGTACCTGATGATATTGACATAAGGACTCCTCTTTTGCTGCCTGAAAATTCATTAGAACCTGTTGGGTATATAAAGGGTTTTATTATTTGTTTTTTTTTCCTTCTGTGTGTTTCTGTGAATATTTTCTACGTGTCCGACATTATGGTTATCTATTAATGCAGATAAAGAATCCCCAGAATTCTGCAGCACCTTCTCAGTATGGTGCCAGCACCGTTACTAACAAACCCCATGCCATGTCCCATTTCATTACACGACCCTCTGACAGCCAACCTCAGCGCACTGTCTCATAGAACAAACAGTAGGTCCCTGGGGCTTCTGGCAGTGAGTCCTCCCCACTAAAGTCCCTAAAACCCTCCATTTGGCCAAAGCCGTGTGATTACTGGTCCTCTGCGTCATGGCTTTAGAACATCCTTCAGGTCTGACTGCAGGTTTTTAAACAGCTCTTTGGGGAATCAGTACATGAAAGTCCCTTCAGGTGCACCTTTCACAGGGTTACTTAATTCTTTAACTTTGTTTCTGAGGGTTACAGGGCAGTCTTTCTGCTCAAAGTGTCCATTGTCCTGTTGAAGCAGGTTTTTGTCTCTAAAGTGGTTTTCTGTGACCTGCCAAGACACCCCACACTGCTGAGCTTGGAGCCCCGCTAAGCACAGGAAGCGCCTCCCCGCTCAGTGGGATTCCACATGGATACTTTTGCTCCTGGAGGTGGTGGGATAGACTTCAGCTCCTGTTACAGTTCCTTGGGCCCAATTATCTCATATAAAGAACACTAGCAAAGTTCAGACTGATTGCTTGTCCCTGTTGGGACCCACGTGTGTCGCTGTGGCCGCTTCCTGGACTTTTTTAACTTGGGCTCTCCACTGTAGCAGTTCCATGATCATATGTGAAGAGACTGCAGCAAGCGAGGCCTTTATCAGCATTAAACCATGTCATCCCTGCTTCTGAAAAGAAAGAAATACCTGGGAATACTCACTATCTTTCCTGAGGTTCGGGTAGCTTTGCCTTCAGTTCATTCTTTGTCCACCTAGATGAGTCTTATGACAAAGTCGATTTAAATAAATGGAACAAATGTGTCTACTCAGTTCAGTTTAATGTTTTATTTTGCTTTTTAAAATGCCTATAGGTTAGCTGTAATGAAGTTCAACCAGTTTTTCTCATTTGTAAATTTGTTTTCTGTTTCAATTTGAAGCTGGTTTTGAACTCCTGACCTGCCTGTCACACTTGACTTCTTGCTACTTTAATGCAACGTCCCTGGGTTGTTTTTTGGTTTTCTGAACCTCAGTTATTCTGTACATGCAAATTGGTTTTGGGGTGTTTTTGTTGTTGTTGTTGGTTTTGTTTTTTGTTTTTTGAGAGTTTCACTATGTAACCCTGGCCTGTTCACACTTGCTATGATCCTTCTGCCTCAACCTTGAAAATTACCAGTGTATGCCACCAGAGCTGACCGTAAAGGCTGTGCCATTTTTAACTGATTGGATTATTTTCCTTAATTGCCTAAATGGACTAGAGAGATGGCTCAGTGGTTAAGAGCACTGACTGCTTCTCCAAAGGACCTGAGTTCAATTCCCAGCACCCACATGGCAGCTCACAACTGTCTGTAACTCTAGTTTCAGGGGATCGAACATCCATGGCAAAACACCAGAGCACACAAAATAAGAATAAATAATGCAGAAACATCTCCCCGCGGTTTTGATGCACGATCTGCAATCCAGAAGTGTTTCCAGTACACTAGTTCCCACCTCATCACTATTGACCGTGTGACTATTGTATTAGGGTGTCTAAAATAGTATTTTCTTGACAGAAACATTAGCTTACCCCTCCCTTAATTGTTACTGAAATAAACCAAAGCTCTTAGCTCTACTTGCTATGGAAAAAGGATATGAGTCCAAAGTGTGTGTTGTGTTCTCTGCTGGCCGCTACCTACCTTCTGCCTGTTCCCTCATGTTCTGTGTGACTTTGGGGAGGAACCCTTTATGCCCTGGTGAGCCAGGCAACTCCTTAAGAGTTAACCATAGTGTTGTATGGAGGTAAGGGTCTTGCTAGGTCCCTAGACCCCAGGGCTTATGATGTTCCTGGCTTCTTTGTTAGACAGGAGTTGACCTTGCAGAAATGAGAAGATCACAGATCTGTACTAGAAAGATCTTCCTGAGGTAGATCATCCTCAAAAAGAAAGCTCAGCCTGTCTGTGCCCCCCCAAACACATGCCACATCCTCTCTACCAGTGGAGAATGGGCTCTGATCTTGGCCCAGGTTGAGGGCTATTCTGTCTAGAATCAGACAGCTACACAGTAGTGGTTCTCAACCTTCCTAATGCTGTGACCCTTTATTACAGGTCTTCATGTTGTGGTGACCCCCCAGCCATAAGATTATTTTTGTTGCTACTTCATAACTAATTTTGCTACCGTTATGAACCGTGGTATAAATATCTGATAGGCTGCCCCGCAAAAGTGTCATTTGACCCCAAAAGGAGTTGAGACATCACAGGTTGAGAACCGCTGCTCTAGGCGCTAAAGGATGGAATTGGCCACCCCAGGATCTGACAAGCCCAGATCTGGAAGCCCAGCAGCCCCACAGGACAGTTGAGCATGGCACAAGAGTTTCCTGGAGCAGGGTAACACCCAGGCAAGCTTGTGCAGGCCCCAGTCCAGTCCTGGAAACAGCACTGGGTTCCACCCTTCCTGGTTGGGACGTGTCTAAAGCCATCTATTTCCCATGCTATAATTAGATCCTTTCCTGGTTAAGCTACCATTACCTTCCTATGGGCCAGGTGCCATGCAGTGTTTCACTTACATTCTAAGTTAGAACCTCCTGCTGCAGGTTTAGTCCTATCCGTAGATGGTCACCCAGTCACATGACCAGATGGTCACCCAGTCACATGACCAGTAGGAAGGCAGGACAATGAAGTGCAGATCTATATAAATTAATTTACCTGGGGCAGGGTGGTGGTGGTGCACACCTTTAGAAGCAGGTGGGATCTGTTGGATTCAGGGCCAGCCTGATCTACAGAGTGACTTTCAGGACAACATAAAGAAACCCTGTCGCAAAAGAACAACAAATTTACCCGGGAAGTCAGAGCAATGGCTAGTGTGTAGTCAGTCCCCAAGAGAGGATGATTCCACCAACTTAAGGCACCGCCTGGCTGTCTGTCAGAACTGGCGAGGGAGCTGAGGGTTGGACACCACTCCAGTAAGTCAGGGTTCACGTCGCTGTCCTGCCTCTGCCACAGCTAGGGTTCTTGCTGAGCCTCTTAAACTTGGGCTGCTGGAGGGTCAGTCGGTGTCACACTCCAGGGTGAGGGGCCAACTGCGGTGTCACATGGCGCCCAGCTGTTGAGTCCCTTTCAGAGTCAAGAGTGCTGTGTCTTGCCTGTTGTCTATTGTCTTCCAGCCGTGAGTCCCACCTGCAGAAGTTACCCCAACGTGAAGTTCGCGTCTGACTACTCAGGACGCATGGACCTTTCCAGATGGGCCTCAGGCTGCCCATCCATCCTACTGACCTTCATGTTTCATGGCTCATTTCACTGGGTACAGAAAAACTCTGAATACTTAGGCATTTCCCAAAGCTGCCTGCTTCCCACATGAAGGTTGCTGGTTGTCTCCCAGCTCACACTCTGCAGGGCAGTCCCTTGAGGTCCTAAGACATGACCTGGGTAGCTAGTCCTGAGTGAGCAGAAGTGAGAGTCAATGGACAGCCAGCCTGTTTGTAGCCTGGGCCCTGTTGCTTTATCCCACACTGCCTCTTCCATCTCGGCCTGGTGGTGTCTCTGCCTTCACCAGTCTAGTACTGGCTTGCTTGTCCCTGGCCATGCTGCCTCACCTCAGGTATAGCTGGCCTCTGTACTGTAGCCCCAGGGCCTTGTAGGAGCAGACACATACATGCCTGTGGGGTGAGCTGTTCTTTAGGGTGGTGTCTTGGTACTTGGCGGGCACTCAGAAGATACTTGCTGAATAATTAAGTAGAGAAGAGGTTTTATTGGCCCTTTATGATGCTGCAGAAAATTTCCAGAGTGCAAATGACCTCTGGCATCACCTGTCAGGAGCTCTGGTGGGATGCTGAGCGCCCCATGTGCATAAGTCCCTCAGACATGCCAATGGGGACAGGTGACCTCCAGGACTGACAGTCTCCCCCTGCCTCTGCTGCAGCTACCTCACTATGCAGTGTTGGCTTCTGGCCTTAAAACTCACCTATAAGGGGTTGGAGAGGCGGCTCAGAGGTTAAGAACACTGACAGTTCTTCCAGAGGTCCTGAGTTCAATTCCCAGCAACCACTGGGGGCTCACAACCATCTGTAATGAGATCTGGTGCCCTCTTCTCGCCTGCAGGGATACATGCAGACAGAACGTTGTATACATAATTTTTTTTTGTTTTTTTTTTTTGGTTTTTTTTTTGGTTTTTCGAGACATGGTTTCTCTGTAGCTTTGGAGCCTGTCCTGGAACTAGCTCTTGTAGACCAGGCTGGCCTCGAACTCACAAAGATCTGCCTGCCTCTGCCTCCCGAGTGCTGGGATTAAAGGCGTGTGCCACCACCACCTGGCCATAATAAATATTAAAAATAAAAAATAAACTCACCTAGGAAAAAACTCAAGTCTGTGCCTTGACCCCCCCCCAAAAAAAATACTGTTTTCAGGGGCTGGAGTGACCAGGGAGGGACTGTGTCAGAAATACCCTAATTTAAGACTGATTCCATGGCTGGGTGGTTGTGCTACGTGCCGTAAATTTCAGTAATGGGGGAGAGGGGCAGAGGCAGGAGCATCTCTGTGAGTTCCAGGACAGCCAGGGCTACACAGAAACCCTATCTTGGAAAACCAAGAAGTGGGTGGGAGGAACTGATTCCAAAGGGCAGGAAATGACTTGCTGAACAGAATTACTGAACTGGGGGTGCATGAGAGGGCACAGAATAATTGTCAGGAAGGTTCAAAGTGTCAGTTTGAGATACAAGTGAACCCCCTCAAGGGCCTGTACCCTGGGATGAGGGCTGCCATGCAGGGTCACGTGTGGTGGAGAAGTCTGGGGAGGCTTTCTGGAAGAGTCAACACAGTTAACTTCAACTGTGTGAAGTTTGCTCTCTGCTGGAGAGGGCTAGCTAGCCCAGAGCCACCGTGGCTTCAAGACCAAAGTCATGACCATACCACCATACCCAGGGATGGGGCAACAGCTCTATCGTTTATTGGGGGGGGGGGCCCTCTGGCCACAAGTCTCCAGCAGAGCAGTGACCAGCCCATGTGAGTCAGTGAAGGCCACCCTCACCTGCTCCTCCAGGGACTGTCTGACCTAACAGCCACATTCTGACCTCCTGTCCTTCCTCCCAGCCTACATGGCTTAGGTACCCTGTGGTCCGTCACACACACACACACACACACACACACACACACACACACACACACACCTCACCCTTGGCCCAGTTTTGTTTTTAGCTTCATTGCTGACCGAGAGGCATCCTCTTGGACCCCACCCCCAGATGCTCACACAGGACCCAGGGGCAGCAGGACATATCCCATCACTCCACTGGTGCGTGAGAATTATCTGTATTCTGTCAATCATGTATTTTAATAAAACGCTGATTGGCCAGGCAGGAAGTATAGGCAGGTCGACCAGACAGGAAGTATAGGCGGGGCAGTGAGAACAGGAAAAGGCTAGAAAGGAGGAAGTCCATTCCTCCATTCCTGCCCAGACCACCGAAGAAGCAACATGTGAGCTGACAGCTGAAAAAGGTACCAAGCCATACGACTAACATAGATCAGAATAATGGATTAATAAAGCTATAAGAGTTAACAAGATGCTTGAGCTAATGGGCCAATCAGTTTATAACCTAATGTAGACTCTGTGAGATTTTCTTTGGGACTTGCCGGCTGTGGGGTACTGGGCGGGACAGAAACCCCAACAAGCCGGCCCTCATGTTACACTCCACTGTTTCCATCTGTGTGTCCCTGGTGACTGGGGCTCTTGGCCTCTCATGTAAAGAGTGGAAAATAGGGACTCACATCTGTAGAAGAAGCAGTCGACTATTTGAAGTGAAACGATGTACAGGTAATAGCAAATACACTGTCAAGATTGACAGTGGGCCACGTGAATGAGGACCCTC